ATCCAGAGATCTTTCTTGGGGTGATCTTCAAATTTAAGTCCTTTGGGAAGCCTGTGTTAAATTTCAGAAGTTTGGCTAACAGGTCTATGGTCCCCTTCCTTCTTTTATTATATTTTGATAGAAGTGACCTATCTTCTGAAGGATGTTAAGTTTCAAGTTAGGTGACTTTATGTATGGTAAAATAGCGCAAATTCTTTCCTTGTAACTTTACAGCCGTGTTTTCCCTAAACGCAAAGAAACTGTTTTGGTTTCTTGCTGTCTGTTGTTACTGACCACAACGTCCTGGTAACTTTGTGGAAAACTTGTGACAGCAGACCTGCATGAAAATCCTGCTGCACCTCACAGGGAAGTGATAAATAAAGATTAAAAGAGCAAATACCCATAAGCAGAAGCTTTGTGGTGATACAGTGCTATTTTCGTTCAAGCCTAACAGTCATGAAGTGGATGTTTTTTGTTATCCAAAACTTTTCTTTGCCTGGAGAATAAATACGCTATTCTTTTGGCTAAAGAATACTGATATTGTTTGAGATTCATTTACTGTTGAGAACAGGTTTTGGTTTTTGATGGTGAAGCTTTCTTCTAGTTAAATGTAATACTGTAGTGGAAAATGAGGTATACTTCTCATGAAATACATAACAAGCTGTACCTATGGCTTCGCACACACAGAATAACTTTTTTTAGACAGTTTGAAAATCATCTCTTCCTTACGTTAGGAATACAATCTACAGAAATGCAAAATCAAGACTGTAAACCAATGGTACATGAAGCAACATTCTCCTTTTTGAATTTGTAATTGACGTTCAGTCTTATCACAACTGGAGAATGGCCAAGTTGCCAGAGTGTGACATACTGCCTATAAAACCAGAAACCGTTTAGAGTTCAAAGAGCTTAAAAAATAGTAACAGATTAATTACAAAATAGGGGAGTAACCACAAACCAAACCTATCGCGAGTTAACCTGAGTGAATGGGGATAACACATTTTTAAGGCAACAAATGATAAAAGTCAAACTAGGGTAGTGAACGTCAGGGTCTTTGAAGGGCTTAAGGAAGCAGGAGGTATCAGGATGCTGAATGGACACCTTGAAGAAAGAAGCTGTGGCTGGTACCTCCTTAGAGCTTGAATGGATATTGCATGTCTTGTATGGAGTCAAATCCTGGGATACCAGGGTCAGGACTGAGTGCAAAAACTAAGGTTAATATCGTATGTAATGCAGCTGTTTTAACCTCTTCAAAAAGTGTCTTGTCCTGTGGTTCAGGATGTAGTATTCAAGAACGCATCCACCAGTCTTCTTAAAACAGTTCAAGAACATGAAAAAAAGTCTTCTGTTTGTTACTGTTTGGATTTTATACGCATTTGACCCCATTTGCAGACAGAACTAAAGCAGTGTACTACTTTATTATGGCATGTTATTGAAGTCTGTTCAGAAACAACAGAATGGTTTGTTGCTGTAACTTTGCCACACCTATTTTTCCTGCTGCTTAAAGTAAGTATATAGTCTTCTGCTTCCCATCTCCATGCTCTTAATAATGTGAGCAGAGGAGGAAGCATATCTGAAATTCAGTATGCAGTAGTAAAAGGGTTTGTTGGGTTCTTTTGCTTCTCATAATTCAAAGGAGAAAATAAGTTGCTGCATATCCACTTAGCAATTGGAAAAAAACAGCAGGGATTCATTTTCCAGTTAAAGCCAGAATTTCAGTTAAATTTTTAAATTAAAACAGAATTCAAAGACTTTCTGGATTCCATAGCATTTTTGGAGTTGAGTGTAACTTCTTAGGACTTCCAAAACTGTATTTTATGTATTTATTCTGCCAGCAGAAGGGTTTCATGCATGTAGTTACTAGTGAGTGAGACAGGCTGAGTCACAAGGTAAGAATGTGTAGGTTTTAACGTCTGTTGTAATTCCAGCAGGTGAATTTTGTGTTAATAAGAAACAAAAGCACCTCAGAGCCCTTCTTGTAATGCCTCTTTATCTTGTGTCCTTATCTACAACAGAGCAATTTGAATATCAGCATGATGCTGAGGAAAGTTCAAGCGAATAACTGCCTTTGATCATGTTTTGTGGCAACCTGAGTTGAAGTATGTGAGATAGGCACAACCAGTAAATGATGTCTAGTTGATTACGCCCTTAAAGGCTCCCAAGAGCAAAACTGATATTTATTTCTTTTTTTTAAGTAAGATTTCTTTTCGGAGTTTCTTTGATGTAGTGCAGCTCCGGAAACCACTGAAAACGTATGGAAATATTGACAATGATCGTATTTTGGTTTGTCTTCTAGCTATATATATTGTATTAAAGTATCAAATGCTTGCAGTCTGTATTTTTTTAACCTCTGCGATGAGGTGTTGAACTTTTTGTATTTATACTGCTTTTTCTCTTAGTGCATAATTAAGCTGTGGCCCTCATAGCAGTGGATGTTGTACCTACAAGCCAGCAGTGTAAAAACCCATTTATTGCTAAATGCTGGGAGTGTTCTTGGGAAAATATTGCTGAATACTTGCACTGTTCCTTTGTTCTTCCCCCAAACATTTGTTACTGGCCACTTCTAAAGCAACAGAATACAGAGAACTATCGATCTTGGTTTGAGCCACTGTGACCATGCCTGGGTACTGATTCTTTCAGCCACCCAGCACTTGCTATAATATGAGTTAAATCTCTAAATATTTTGGTAAAAATAGTCTTTGAACATATGTGAACTCTCAACATAATTTCGTTTTCTCTTCTTGATTAGTCCTCCGGATGAAAACAGTGTAAAATCCTCATGGAAATTAATCCGCTACCTTCTGTGATTTAATTTGCTTTTGTGGCTGCGTCTGCATGAGCAAATGTATGTGCCTGTGTTGCACAGCTGCAATAGTTGTGTGCGTTTCCATCAGCAGCCATGGAAAGTATGTGCAGGCCTTTAGGAATACCGGTTCCTCCAATTCTGTAGCAGACAAGCTGTTATATCTGTGCAGCATGGGTGGTGTAAGATTAAATATCAAACTTGGTTTGGATTTTTTTTTAACCCCTAGGACCCCAAAACCTCAGCAGCAGTGTAAAGGGTTAACTCTAGAGGCTTTGGTATGTGGGCTGATCCATTGAAAAAGGGTTGATGCTGAATTTATGGAGGCTAAGCTTGCAATACATCTGGGATATAACAGGGCCACCTGAGAATCTTAGGGTTTTCTGTCTAATGGGATGGGTCTTATCAGTGGTGGTACCTGCTACCTTCATATTGGGGTATATTTATTTTTCAAATACAGTTTAGTATCAATCACTAGATATAAACTAGAGTCTGCCAGATGATACCTTTCACTTTCTCTGGAAGCTTCTAGATGGCATGTAAGCCTTAAATGGATAAATGTTCCTATCCAGATCTCTTGTGTCAGTGTTGCAAACTTCTGCCTGGCTTCTTGGGTTAAAGTTCATAAAAGAGACTTATTCAGCCCAAAAGCAGTTCTTTGGAAAATAGTGCTTACTTGTATTTGAACTTGTCAGTGGTTCAGGAGAAAGAAGTTCAATGATTTTTAAAGCTCTTCCATCCTGACAGGCTCTTAAACAATTATCTGTTGTTACCTGGTTTCAGCAGTGAAAGTAGGATTTGGGGCCTGTTTTGTGTAGCTAGAGGCCTGCAGCTGCTGTAAGAAAAGCCTTTTCTGCATGTCAGTGTTTCTTAAACTGCCTACTGTAGGTCAGTTTTGTTCTTTTGCCCCGTTAAAGGGAATCTCTCCAATAAGTTAAGATTAAAAATTGTTTTAAAGGTACCAGAAATAGGAAAAAATAGAACTACAAGAGTACTTGGTGTCTCAAAAATCTGTTTTGAGAACTACTGTTGTGAAAGTTTGTCAGTGACACCCAAAAGGGAAATGGCAGGGAAGGCTGACTTTTTGTTTCTGCCTTTGCTAGGGCAGTCTTAAATACCTTCTTGTGTTTCCTAGGTAAGAAATGTTGGCCTTTTTAACCTCTTCAGGAATTACTACTTGAATGCATTTGAATGCCTCTTAGTTGAATTGGCAGTCTAAAAGAAGTAATAATGAACTGTCAACTTATGCAAATTTCCCTCTGAATTTGCATCAAAATGCTCAATGACCCAAAACCTGCCTTGGTGAAATTTTTCAGTCTTTAGCTTCCCAAACAACTTATTTCCTAGGAGGTAACTTTCTTGTAAGAATAGCATTGTATTTATCCACTGATGGCTTTTGGTGGTGGGTTGTTTGGGAGGGTGGTGGTTTGTTTTGTTTTCCCCTTATTGTTATTAAGGCAGAGCGGTTGGGGGGGGCTTTATCAATTAGACTCTGTACATCATGAGAGCTGATTGAGGAGTTACCTGAGGATACGGTAACATGGTTTTTTGAGGGCAGAAACATGAGATCTCAGGTGAAATAAAAGGATAATTTCCAAATGAGATTTGCCACTAAAAGACTTGTGATTGTCTTGAGTTGGGGTACCAAACTGTTTTCCAAGGTTAGGGTGTCCCTTAGAAGGGTTTTGATTTTCTTTTGTATTTTTTTTTTTTTTTTTTAGTAGGACCATATGTACATTTTTACATTTAAGGGAAGAGTTCAAGTTTTCTTGCTGGTGTAGAATGGTTATGAAAACAAAGAAACAAATCATTCAGTTGGGCTGAAGTAGCACATACTTAATTTTTTATCTAAAACGTTATAATGAGCACTTGAACACCTTGCACCTTTCAAATCCTTCTTGCCTTCCAGCACTTTTTCTTTCATTATTCATGAGGAAAAGTTCTGACTTTCCTTGTGGAGAGAAGAATGGATCTATCAATAACAAAATCCACATGACAATTGAGTTTTCTTTTGGGTTATTTTAGACTACTAGTATGTTCTTATTCTGTATATTTTGCATTCAGGATATTCAACATACTGTTATTTTTAAATGAGTACACAGACTAGTTAAAAGAATCTGGGTGAATGAATTTGCATTGAGGATGTCGTGGGGACAGTAGTAAGATAAATGTTTTTTGGGGGCTTTTTTTCTTAAAAGTTATCTTTTTTTCCTGAAAGATGGTGGACCCTACTTTAGCAGAAATGGGAAAGAATCTGAATGAAGCAATGAAGATGCTAGAAGACAATCAAAGGTGTGTGCAAAGGACAATAACTGCAAAAACAATACCTGTTTGTTCTAAGGGGAGGATTATTAATGTTGCTGTCAAGAAGCAGGAAAGAACTAATTTTCCTAGTAGTTTAAGGTCATACTGTCATTCTGAAGCTTACACCTGAACAAATTACCATCATTTCTCAAATAATGGGACTTTAAAAATAAATGTATGTATTTTTATGCATGTTCTTACAGAGCAAGTCCAGTGACTCTATTTTTTCAGAGATGTTAGATTTTTTTTTCTTATTGCTGTATTTTTATGCATGTTCTTACAGAGCAAGTCCAGTGACTCTATTTTTCAGAGATGTTAGATATTTTTTTTCTTATTGCTGTGCAAGTAACTTTTAATTCCTGTATATGTGACACTCTTTTGTAAGTTTGATGTTTTCTGTTAAAGAGCTGAACCCACAAAACTTAGGAACACTTCAACTCAGTTTGAGCTAAATTCTTGCATAGGTCTCACCTGATTTATTTATGAACCTGTTGTCAGTGAAATAGATTGAAACCATGTCAAAAGGTATTTCTGCAAGTCAATACATGTTTGATGTTATAAACTAGAAACTAAATACATAGTTTTCTCTCGTGTCTTTAACTTAGAAAAGTGGAGGAAGAAAATGAAAAGAAGTATGCACGGAAGGATATTCCTGGACCACTCCAAGGCAGGTAGGTACAATTTTTAGCTAATGCTGTTTAGTTTTCAGAATTTGTAATGCGCATGTGTAACATGCTTGTTTTCCAAGCAACTTCTATATTAATGCAAACATGAAAATTTGCCAGGCATTATGTCAACTTTTTCCATGTTCAGTGAAAGGACAGGGAAGATTATGCTAGTTATTTCCATACTTACATAGGAGGAATTAAAAAAGATAACTTGTCCTTGGTGACTGAAATTTTGAACTGTTGGAATCTAATGAGGTATTGGTCCCTACAGCTGTGATTGAGGCTTAAACATAGATATACTTGTGCTATAAAAGAAAGAGGCATTAAAACACCCATTAAAAAAAAAACCAAAACAAAACAAAATAAAACCCTGAGACTGATAAGGTAGAAAACTTTTTAAAAAACAACCACCACAAATCAGCATAGCTTTTCAGCACAGTTGTCTTAAAGAATTATATGGGGCTCTTGTGCATAAGGCAGGTAAGATCATTGTACCTGAAAATTAAGAATTGAATTGGTCATAGCCTCTTTGGAAGATGATCCTGCAGGAGTCCAAGCTAGCACTTCAGAAAGTACTGCAAAATTTATTTAAGTCTTTCTTTTATGTATGTATGTAGCCTAAACTTGGTTTTGAGTGGAGACACTGATTAGCTCTTCTAAGAATAAAAAGCAATTTCAGCTGTCAGAGTGTAAGTTCTTACACAACTGTAAATTTTACTTGGAATTATGCAGGTTGAAGTGTTGTGGGTCTCTTCTAGTTTTGCTGTATTAGACTGCATCATGTCAGAAGTCTAATGTTGCTTTTGTTTGCTAGAGACTAATATTTGTAGGTTATTACTTAGGAGATGTACTGAATTTGTGAGCTAAAGCTGGATTATATAAAGAGAAACATGGATCCTTAGCTACTACATTACTTTCTGTGTAGCAATAAGTAATTAAACATTGACAAGCCAAACTTTTCAGTCCAGATTTTCTTAAATGTATTTTTCTGAGAGTCTGAGTTCATATTTATTGAAGTGTCTTACTGTAATTAAGTATGATTTTGAATTAATTGATTCCACAATTGTGTCTTCATGATCTGTTTTTCTGAGAGCAAGGAACTGTTTTTGGTGCTATAGAAGTGCAGTGTCTGAACTGGCCTCTTTGTTGGATGCTGGTACTTACCTTTCTTCTGATTTTTCTTTTCCCCTTCCTGGTATGCTAGTGGCCAGGATATGGTGAGCATACTTCAGTTGGTTCAGAACCTAATGCATGGAGAGGAGGAAGAGGAAACCTCACAGACCTACCGGTAAAGCCAGTATGAATTATTGTATGTGGAAGATACCTGATTTTGTTACATTCTGATTATTATAGAACTTATACATTTAAGTATTTTAAACTGTAAAGATATTGTGCAACCATGCACCTTTTAAAGGCAACTTAGATTATATAGTGAGCCATGATTTCTGATATGACAGCTCATTTTGTTTTCTACTTTCTGAAAGTTGTTTTAAGTCTAAAAGTCTTATAAAACTTTGAATCCCAATAAATTTTTTTACCATCTCTCCCTGTAGATTAAAAAAAAAAGGAAAAATAAAATTTGTTTCCATTTTTATGTGAAATGGAAATAATGCTAACTATTCTGCAGAAGATTATTGAAAAATAATAATTAAAAAACAGTTTGGAAATTAAAAAAACAACCAGCCAAACAAAAACCCTCAACAGACCGATGAAAGCTGTGCCTCTAAAGATAATTAGTCTGCTGAGTTTTGTCTGCATGAGGAGAGAAAGGTATGTGTTTAGTGCACTTTGAAGTCCCAAAGCAGATAAGGTGCTTAGTTCCAGTTTATGCTAGCGGATTGGCTAAAAAAGAACCTGAAGGGATGCCATACACAGCTAGGCCAAGTGAAATGCAAATGCTTTTGTCTGTACTGGCACTTCAGTATGTAATGCACAATGGCAGAAAGGTGGCTGTGGTATACTGTACTTCTCTGCTAAATATTTAAAACTGCATGTCAACAAATTCTGCCACTCCACAGTAAAAACATGCAAATGTAAAATTACTGTAACATTCATGACTTGTATTTAGTTGGCAGTTACTCTGTTCTGGCTTGCAGACTTCAAAACGTTGGTGAACAGGGTCACATGGCTCTACTGGGACATAGTTTGGCTGCTTATATATCAGTGCTAGACAGGGAAAGACTGAGAAAACTTACAACAAGGATCCTTTCTGATACTACTCTCTGGCTCTGCAGGCTGTTCAGGTGAGTCACTGAGAATAACTTATGTATGACTAAGCAGTGGTAATTGTTTAAAAACATGTGTGACTGCACTGAGGATGTCAACAAAAGAAACCATTATGCCACAAACTTAGAAGTATTCTTTGAAAGATTTGAAAGACATCACATAATTTAAAAATAAAAAAGAAAAATTAAAAAAGAGGAGGCTGCTCATTGAATGCAGGAACTTGCTAGTAATATGGTTGCCATAAAAAAATCCTTTTATATGGGCTGTATGGTGGAACTAAGGGCCACAGTACGGTTGCAGACATACAGTTTGTCAAATGTTTAACTACATTCTTGCTACATTCTTGTTTCTTGAGGCATATGCTATGTTGCTGAGGCTTGACATACATCATATTTTTAAAAGATGTTTTCAGTTAACTTCTTTGCTCTTCCTGAATCTAGTTTATTTTTCCAGGTATGGTAGGTGACACTGCTGAAATTTACAGTCCACTGAAATTTTTCATAAATGCCTGTTTCATCATGTAGCATAGATATCTTAAACTGTTCCATGCGAGAAGAATTGGAAGTGAACTGTGTGAGGGTGTTGGGAGGGGGGAGATTAAATGATAAGAAATTCCTTTTTTTTTTTCTTCCCAAAGGAAAAAAAAAAACCAAACCAAAAAACAACCAAACCACCAAAACACGTAACAGTATTTGCACATCAGGTAGTCTCTGATAACTTGAGGTATTTCAGGGCCTTCATGTAAACTTGGTGATAAATGCTACTCTTAAATTGTGCAAAAGCACTGACTTACATGTTGCTCAAGAATGCTGGAAGAAGAATCTAACTTGCAAGTTATATAATAAATTGACATACTTACTACTTTCATAGTTGTTCTTTTCTATAGATAAGATAGCTGAGGGATTGCCCTCGATGTGGAGCACTCTTACCTTATCTCTTCTTTGCTCTGGTTTCATGACTATAAATGTCAATGTGCTCATCTGACTTTGATTCTTAGAAGGGTTAAAAAGGGTGGGGGAGGAGCAGATGCATTCCCCCACCCCCTCATGAGCCCCAAGGAAGCATGCCTAATGAATCAGATTGAAGGCAAAATAGCCATAAAATCATTAAAATATTCCTGGGGAAAAATATACTTCATTTATGTAACTCACATATTTAAAACCTTTGGAAAATTGTCTTCCAGTATGCTGAATAGACTGTAGTAAATTGTGGTCTTATTTTCAAACTCATTAAATGCAACTGGCATCAGTAAATTTGAGTATTAGAAAATACCTTAATTTGTGATTTGATAAAGAAGTTTGCCATTTTCTGCCCATATACCTTACTTCATGTGTCTTATTCCAATTTTACTAACTTAACAAATGTCAGGTTGCATTCTCCTTAAAATTAGCAGGTCAGAATTTACGTATGTATTAAAAACAGATGATGCCTTTTGTGTGTTTCCTCCCCCACCCTGCTCTCAGCAAGCAAGGTTTTGACTTCTGTAAAGGCAATTCTTGGGAATCCACATGTGTTTTCTTTCTCACTTTATAAATGAATCTAAATGGCAATATATACTAGGCTTCCCTTATTGTTAACCACAGCCTGTCTCATAAAAATTTCCTTCTATTCTACTTCATCCTGGGAAAACAGAAGTGTTTTAAATCTGTCTTCTTTATCCTCTTGTGAGCTCCTTTTGCTGGTTAATGTTATGTGTTAGGCACTAAATTGTTTATTGGTTTTGTTGGTCATATTTACTCAGTTTTTCTCGCAGGTATGAAAATGGATCAGCATATTATCATGAAGATGATCGTGAAGGTCTCCTAAAAATCTGTCGACTTGTTATTCACACACGCTATGAAGATTATACAATAGAAGGATTTAATGTGCTATATTCTAAGCAGCCTGTCATATACATTAGTTCTGCAGCTAGAACAGGCTTGGGCCAAGCTCTCTGCAATCAGGTAAAGTGAATCAGTTGGGGTTTTAACTGCAAGTAGAACCTACCTGGCTTCATATTGGCTACTTGAAATTTAAATTTTGAAAATATATTCAATCTCTTCCTGCAGGAGGCTGGTATTTGCAGCACAGTCTAGTACATTACTGGCAATAGTCTTGTAAACTGGCTAGGGCCAGTGAAAGCTTTCCTTTAGAATCTTGTGTCTGCCTGGAACTTCCGCTATTAGAAGTGACGATTTCTCCAAGGTTTTTCCCAGTCCCCTTATGTTGACTGAATTCATGTGTACCCAGGCAAATGTAACTTTGGTGATTTTGAGAACTTACTTATTTTTCCTCATGGTAGAAACAATGGCAGTGTGACTAAACAGCAACACAACAGGGGGTGGGAGGGGAAGGGAGTCTTCACGTTCTGTTAAATGAAAGGATAAAAACAAACTACTCTGTAACTGTGGTTCTCTTAATTTGCTGAATCTTCTGTTCAGTGATGGGTACGATCAACTAGATTTGACTTGTCTAGTGATCTTCCAAGTTAAAAATCAAAATATGAGAGTCCTTGATTCCCCAGCTCCCTCTCATGTTAATGATGCAAAAGTTATCTGGAATTTGCCTCCCTATCAACGGAAGAACTTGAGACTTTCAAGCATGAATAGTCACCTGAGCTGTATGATCAAAATGGGCAGATTGCTCTCTACTCAGTAGTGAAGTGACTGTGAACCTCTGGTGGAACTTGGCCCATGCACAAAGCACATGTTTGCTTACAGGATGCATTAGTTGCAGGGGTGGCCAAGGAAAAGAGGATTGAGATTTAGGCTATTGTACAGAGCATAGGTGGCTCATTAGAGAAACTGAATGCAGTTGATGCACTAAGAAAAAGGTGACTGATTTTTTTTTCCAGTTTCTTCTTGCTTTCTGTCCTCTGCTATTAATTTGATTATAAGTTTTAGCAGGAAACGTACTTTGTAATGTAACATCCAGCTCTTTATTGTGATTTTTACTATTTTTTGTATCACTCTATATATATTTCTGTGAACACTTTAAATAAGTATGTCTTAGTTGTTGAAATTCCATCATTTTTATTGCAGCTAGGGTTACCCCTTTCTTGTATGTGCCATGTGCCTTGTAACACTATGTTTGGATCTCAGCACCAAATGGTAAGTTAATCTTCTTTTAAAGAGCTCTTTTGATTTTATGGGGTGGTTTTGGTTTAGTTGTTTTGGTTTGTGTTTTGGGTTTTTTAAGCCTTGTTAAATGAATGTCAAGTATATTGTTAGGAAAAGCTTATTAACGTAGTTACTTTTTCAACCTCTACATCTTCTGTCTTCTAACTGTACAAATTGTAGATTGAAATCATCTGAAGAGCCAGCAGGCTGCATCTTGGTTTTGTCATTTGCAAGGTATTTCTAATGGTATATAGTAAGATGATTTTTAGTCCAGGATATAGAATACGTGTAGTTGGAGGTGTGCTTACAAACGACACAATTTATTTGTGTTGCATTTTTCACAAATGCCTTATCTGACCTTCAGGTTATTTTACTTTTGGGAAAAAGAAACTACAAGCCACAAAGAAAGACATTAAGAATGTCTTCCAGAACTTCAGAATGCTGTCCATTTTCACTCTGTACGCATTTTTTTCCAGTTCAGAAGAAACAATTCTGTGTGGTTTGACAAACACATTTATAAATACATATGTTTTTCTTACTGATAACAGGATGTTGCTTTGTTGGATAGAGTGATTAAAGATGATGTCGAGTCTGGAAAACTACCTTTGTTGCTTGTGGCAAATGCCGGTAAGTGCTGTGGACAAACAATAATTTAAAAAGCACTATATACTGTGAATATGTATAAAATCCAAAATAAAAATATATTAAACAGCTTAGTGGTTACATGTCAAGAAGTATCAGGAAATATAATGACCACAATAACTATCTAACTAGAGGGGTATTTATTTAATTGATTTAAAGCTGTATTTTACTGCTGCAGATCTGCTTGTCAGTTGGTGTATTAATATGACTAGAACTTATGTTAGTGAATGCAAATCTTGTGCTGATAATCAGGTTCACATTAACACTTCACGATTGTTTTATGGATATGCCATCAGTTATAGCTTTAAAAGTTAATTAAAAAAGTTGAACTCTAAAAGTTTCGTTAATTAAACAGAACTACTCATGAGCAAAACTTGTTTTGAATATGAATGAAGGTGGTGACTGTTACATGCTTTGCAGTTGGAAAAATATCTGAGATGTTAATCTTGTTTTAGTTTCCTTTCATTGAGGTCATATTTTGAACATATTAAAAATATCTGCATTTCTTATGGAAGGCTGCTCAGTCTTTTAGTGCCTAGGACATCTAACTTTCTACGTATTTTGTTACATATATTTATATGTAAAAATACAAATATGTAATGATATATTTATATTTTATATAAAGAATATAATTTAATTACAATATATAAATAAATA